TATGTTTATAATAAAGACTCAGCGCCCCAACACAGAAATGCAAATGAATCAGCAGGACTGCACTAATGATGGACAAATGTAAATGTGTCTCCCAAGCAGTGTTTTTGTTGCTGTTATTATTTCATATTGCCAGTGAAGATTACATTGTTCAGACTGAATTGATGAATATAAATGTTTCCAACTAGAGCTGCAGCGATTAATCGCATCGTCAGAAAAGTAATTGTCAAATATTTTCAATATCGATGAATTGTTAAAGTTATTTTTGAAAAGAAACGGCCAAAAGGAGTTTCCTGCCTGTCGAATCTCATGTTATTTATTTCAAGAACCTGAAAACAGAGAGTCCTTACACATCGAGAGAATAATGAATCATTTTGGCGTACAGTTTTATTTATTTTCTCCCCTTTTCTTTATTTGAATGCTGTATTGAATCTTTCTATTGTCCCCAACCAACTGGAGAGCTCTCCTGTGCTTGAACCCTTTTCTTGAACAAACGATGAAATACGTTGTTAATAATCTTTTACATAACTGTGTTTGCAGCCGCTTACGGCCCTGCTGTGGGGGTGCAGCATCCCTCACACCCCCCGCCCCAGGCTGTGCTGGGGTCCTACACAGCGATGGCCCCTCATCAGCGTAGCATAGCTCAGGTAAACAACGAGCTCCCCGAAGGTCTTGTTCGGCCCCAAACGGCCCCCAGAAGAACACTTCACAAAGTGCTGGTGTTTGCAAGTTCTTCACTCCTACTTTACTTTCTCTTTCTCTGCAGGGAGGCGTTTCAGTGTCCTATCCCCAAAGTAAAGTTGCCAGGGAGGGGGGTTACTGCTGCGTGGTGCCCCCACCCCCCCACCTGGGCAGCTGCCACCCTCCCAGCTGCCCCCCCCTCGGTGCCCCGGCCTGGGGCGCTCAGTACTGATGAAGCCTCGGCGGACGGAGCCATGATTGCTGAGTTCCTCGTGAACTCACATGCGTAGTTTCTTAACACAAACACCTTTTTCCACCCCCCCCCCCCAAACACCCGCCTTACTTCTTACGATGCCCACAGGGTACACCTTTCTCACTCATAACAAGCATGTGCGCGCACACACACACACACACACACACACACATAAACCCCCTCTCAGACAGAAATGTACCACTGTACCAAAGCTTAATAGTATATATCAGAGCTGCTGTATTGAATGCATAATTTATATTCACAAATGGAGTTTTATATTGATATTAAATTATATATTGTGTTCCAAGGAAATGCACTGTGTGAATAGAATAAAGTGCTGTGGCTGGATTGACGATGTCACATTTCTATATCATCCTGACTCCTTGTTTCCTCTCATGTTGGTGAGCAGATGCTAATGCAGACGTGGCGAGATACATACACCACAGAAGAAAGTCCATTATACGAAGACATGCATGCGGTGCACAATGCATATTTTTTTGCACATAATTACAGACATCAAGTCTCTCCTCTAGGGGAATTAACATATTTGTACGTCTACTTCAATTGTCGTGGCCCACTGGCAGATGCAGACATAAAATACAATGCTTACCCATTCGCTGCCAGAAATAAGAACAATTTGTTCTTAGGTGACAAGTTTAATGTTAATTTCTAGCAAAGGCCAAATATTAAAGATCACCTATTATGCAAAATCCACGTGTTCATGTATTTTATACATACACATGTGTCCCCTCTGTGTAAAGAGATTCTGAACGTTTCAGGAAAAAATATTTGCTCACTTTTTGCCCTGATCCATTTCTATAAAAACCTGTCTGAAAATGAGCTGATCAGAGTTTGGCCACTTTGTGATGTCATAATGTTATTTTGGCTTGTGTAACCATTAGCCAATCACCAACCAAGGTAACCCCCCCCACACACCTTATCACCTGAATCTCCTCCGAGAGCACCATTGTTCTTTTTAACCAAATATCTTGCAGAGTGGCTCCTTATTTTCATCTAAAGTAACAGACACAGAATCAGCTCTTTTGAAACAGGGCTGAAACAGAGGGGTTTATGGGATAATACAATGCATGATCTGTTTGGTATTTCAAGCCAAACACTTCAGAGACATGTTTTGTATAAATCTGAGACCTATAATATATTGATGAAAAACAGTATAATAGTGGACCTTTAGTTTAAAGCCTTTATCTACTGATAGTATCACATGATAATCAAAATGATGTGTGCACTGAGGGAAAGGAGAGATATGCGTTGTTGACCTGCTACTGAGTTCATGAATAGGAGATGAAGGTAATTGCCTTAATGTCTGAATAACTAATGAGCAAGAGGAAGATTTACCATTAACATGTTTGAACCATAGACTGTATAAACATTAAGAATGATGTAATGATGTATGAACATTAAGGGCATTTAGTCTTTAGGAATCTTGTTACTAATCACTATAATGCTCACACGATGGGATTCTTTGTACAGTCGAGCAATAATAACCCTCCGAGGCATGAGCACCCCCTGCTGCTCAGAGACTCTCAGTGCACTCCTCACGTTACACAACACAAGTCTTTCTAACACTAGCTATCTAGCAATCATGTATAATATTTCAACATTTAAAACGGAAATTAGTTAAATTCGGCCTGAGCAATTCACTGCTATGCTTGCCAATTAATTACATTTTTGATAGACTTAGAACTAATTATTTTGATTTTATTTCTACCTATAGGGAAATTAAGTAAGTTATTACTTTGTGACTCGTTAGCAAAGCCCAGGTGTTACTAATCACATTAACGATTGCTCTATTAAAAGTGGAATTCAGCCTCATTAATTTAATTGCACACACCTGTGATTTTCCTGCTGACAGGTGAAAACTGTTCAAACATACAGATCAATACCCAACTAAATTACTCTCCACACACATACTGAATAATCACATTATACAATGCTCTGTTTTAACTCTTCCAGCTTCTCCTGCAAAAATGATCCTACAAGCAATAACAGATCAGCCAATGTGTGTTATTGTTCAGATGCTGCTGGGTAATTCATTTTGCTGAGAAAATTATTCATATCCCCCCCCCCAACAAATTCAATGAAACATATCCATCATCCGCACACGGCTTTAAAATTGAATTTAGATTTCATTACTGCGGTACTGAATGCAATATGTATACAACGGTTTTCAGAAAGCCAGCTCTATTTCTGTCCTTCCTACATTCAAACACACAAAAAGAAATCAGCCGTGCAGGTTCCATGATCTTTAATAAAAGGCACATGTACAGCCATAGTGAGATGAGTGAGTCCACTGGCATAGAGACGAAGCATTAAAACACAGAAATACAGGAAGTAGAGAGGAGAGAGATCTATCTGCTTTACAGTCTACTTAAGAATCATCTTCTCGTTCTCGTTCAAGTAAGTCTAACACTAATATGTCACTGTGGTAAGGTAAAACCCCCCCGTCGCCCCCGTCCCCCGACACACACACACATCATCCATCACCACTCTGAGTCTGATCTTCCAGAGAAATCTCCCCGTGAAGCTCGGAGCAGATGAAGAAGCTCCCAGTCTGGTTTCTGACTCCTCAGAGTTCATCCGTCACACACAGTGCACACATCGATCTCACACTATCGAGGGCATCTTCCTTTTATATTTGCTCAAAGACACTAAAAGTCCAACCGGTCTCATTCTGGAAAAGAACCTGTCTCTGGTTCTCTGTGTATCAGTTACTTTGTAGTATTTTGATGGAGGAAAACTGCTAAAACATGATAATCACACATTTGACTGAAGATGGTGTTGTTTTTCTACTGACACCTTGAAGATGATCAACGCTCATACACTAAAATAAAATCAGTCTTTCTCCGCTTCCGACAGGAAATGACAAAGTGATTGGAAAAATTGGTGGAGATTTTACTGATGTAGGAAACAGCATTTTTTTCTTGATTAAAACATAACATAACCATTTAATCTTCTTACGGCCATTTATAAAATAAATAGATGTACTTGCTGGTGTTAAAACTATAGATAGATGATTGTTTCTAAATTACCTCAAACTAGCTTTTGAATTTCATTTTTCAAATTGTCCAACATATACGCTAATACCAATATAACTGCAATACAAATGGCTAATATATCACCCTGGTTGATCTATAAATATATCTCTAACTACCTTCTTTAAATCAAGATCATATTGGAACTAAATAAACTGTTAAATAAAAGTATGATATAAAATAAAATGATAAAGTAGTTACACAGGATCCAAATACATTTGCTGTTAATCATATTACCAAAAAGCAGCTGACACACATCGGACCTGAAGTCTGTTTGTAACTCAGTCCTGTCCTCAGGCATTGATTTCATATCGGGACAATTTCACAAGAACAACAGTTGTGATCCGTTTACGCACGCACACACACACACACACACACACACACACGCACGCACACACACACACACACACACACACACACACACGCACGCACACACGCACACACGCGCACACACACACACAAAGGCAGTCAGTCACGCGCTAAAACCCAAAATAAAAAGTTCACAGGTATTTAAATATTTAAGGTTAAGAGAAATAAAAAGGGATATTAGTGTTGGAGGTTATATATATATATAACCACAGATGGAGAAAGAAGTCGAAGAACTAAAACATGAACTCAGCTGTCTCTCCTGTGTTTGAAGGGGAAAGGGTCTCATCGGGGGGAACGAAGTCTTTCTCCTGTTCTGGCAAAGCTTGCGACGCAAAATGGACACCCTTTTTTCAAAACAAAAAGACATTGTTGAAAAGACTCAGGCATTAAGTGTAGGAGGGAATGGAAAACACACACTTACAGACACACTCACACACTCATTCACATGTCCAAAGAACTGCTCCGTAGAGTCAGTCGCTCTATTTTCACATTATCACGTCTTTGGGACATTTCAACATCAATCAGAGAGTTTGGGGCCACACTCAAGGGTCCGTCACTTTACTCTCTTTCTCCCCTTTCTCTCCCTCACACACACACACACACACTTCCACACACACACATGCACACGCGCAACAAATACACCACACTTTGTTTGGTGTGTGTGCTACCTTTGGCTGCAGGTGTCAGGGGTGAAAGGTCAAACATCACCTGACCTCAGAGACCCCCACAGGTACACACCAGAGCCGCCTCCCTCACCCCATCACCCCCGCCTGGGCCTTTTGTGGGTTTCACCCCTCCATCCCATAACAATGCCCACCCGTCTCCACAGCAACTCACAGCTGCCCCTCGCGCAAGGGGTCTCACTATCTTGTAAAAGGAGGTAAGTGTAATTAGTGGTGTGTGTGTGTGTGTGTGTGTGTGTGTGTGTGTGTGTGTGTGTGTGTGTGTGTGTGTGTGTGTGTGTGTGTGTGTACCCTGTGTGAATGTGTGTGAGAGTGTGTGTAAGTGTTAAGAGGTATCAGTGGTTCAGTGGTGTCTCTTTAATCTTCATCAGCCCCTTGCCCTCCTTCACCCTTCTTCTTCTTTTTCGTCCTCTTCATCTTCATCTCCCTCCTCTTCCCCCTCCTCCTCTTCCTCCTCCTGCTGCTTCACTCTTTATTTTTGGACTTGGAAGATGAACAGGCGCAGGTTGATGTTTTTGGCGGCCAGCAGTTTGTTGCACTCCACCGAGTCGGAGATGGGCAGCGGGACGTACTCGGTCTCGTTGGCGTCGTTGCAGAAGGAGTGGTGGTGGATGACCGGCTTGATCCGCACGTCGTCGTACGGACCCTTGAGCAGCAGGAAGGAGCACTCCAGGGCAGAGTTCACCTACACACACACACACACACACACACACACACACACACACACACCACACCACACACACACACACACACACACACACACACACACACACACACACACACACACACACACACACACACACACACACACACACACACACACACACACACACACACACACACACACACACACACACACACACACACACACACACACACACTTGTGTTATTGTATCAGCCACAACATTTGCTGCCTAGCTATGCACCCATTTTCTTTTTAAATATATAAATACTTTTGATAAGAATCCTGTAAATCTTAAATAAAAACTAATATTTCTGGCACATATACATCATTTACGTCCGTCCAAAATGTCCTCACTTCATTATTTGATTCCATTTGACCCTATATATGGTATTGGTATATCGAATACACAATACATTCACTCAATTGTATTCATTTAGAGAAGTATTTCCACTCAAAGGGGACTTTTTTTCTAAAAGCTCAGTGCAGTGGTCTATATGTGTTATTACAACTAAATTGTCAGCTGTTAAACTCGACACAAACTCCTCTCAGAATTTATTTGAGTCATTACAGATGCTACTGTCCAGGACTAAAGGCACTTAATTTCCTTATCTCAAATTAAAGGGTTGCTTAATTTAAATTGAGGGTGAAACATAAGGGTTGTAACCTAATTTTTGATTTGGGGCTTTACAAATTAAATGGACATGAATGAGAGAACGATAACAAAAATCACACTCAGTTGTTAGAGCAGGAAGATATAACTATAGTCTTTTACCCAATTAAACCAAAGCAGATGTGCTCAATTCAAATGCTATTCATATTCAATTATAATCAGAAAATAGCAACTTAGATGGCAGCAAAAAAAGTGCTTCTCACTTCTGTAACACTTCTCGGTCATGTTCTTAACACCTCGCTCTGAAAATAAGTACGCTAACGAACTTTAAACACGGGCAGACGTTAGTGTGCGTACCTTGCTTTTGAGGATCAGCTGGAAGGAGAGGGTGCGTTTGCACGACAGGTTGGGGTTGCGCTCTGAGTCGTTAACACGGGCTTTCAGCACCCACGTCTGGTTGAGCACGGTGAAGCGCGGCGTCTCGTAGTACAGGCGGGTGATGAAGTCGTCCGTGCGGTACGGCCTGAACTGCACCTCTGGATGGAGCAGAGCAACCAGTTTATCTAATGTGAGGAAAGGATGTTCTTAAAGGGTAACTTCTGTATTTTCCAACCTGAACCACATTCAACCCCAACATAACTGTAGTGGATTTAAGGATAACATTGCAGTCCTTTGTGCGCATGCAGTGATCTAGCTCAATACTCGACCAATTTATATTGTTCTGCCCTCATTAGGCGCTTTCACACCAAGTACTTTTCCCAGGAATAGTTCCCGGAACTTTTATTTCCTGGAACTATCTAGTAAATCGCGTTCACACCGGAATAAGTCCCTGAGGGAGGATTAGGCAAATGAAGCCGCTGACGTCACTTCTTCTTCTGCTTTGGGTTTACTGGCAGGCCGCAAACAACTTCACAGTGTATACTGCCACCCGAAGTCCCCGGAGTTGGGGACTGGCTTCAGTAGAAGCTGCTGGGACTCCCAGCTGCTTCTACTGAAGACTTCCGAGTAAATCGCCAGAACGCCGACACTTCCTCATCTCCACCGCTCCCATGTTTTATTTTGTGTTGCCATAAGTTAGTCTCTCTGCGTTTGTGCGCTGGGCTAATGCTGATAATGCTAATGCGAGTAAATAAAATGGCGGCTTCACAAACATTTTTCTGAATGTTACGGGGCGTGGTTTGCAATTCGCCCAGCCAATCAGAAATTGGACCCTTTTTCTCCCCAGGAAAGACCCTGCTCTCTAGCAGGGACTAAAAAGGGGTGAAAAGGTTCGCAAAAAAAAGTTCTAGTTCCAGATCTTTTTGGTGTGAACGCAAAATCCCAGGAACCATCGGAACTATTCCTGGGAAAAGTACTCCAGTGTGAAAGCGCCTATTGGTCAATACAAAAACATACAAAAATGTGCATTAAAAAGTTGCCCTTTAAAGGTTCATGGTAGCATCCCATAACCCCCTCTGTTTCAGCCCTGTTTTAAAAGTGCTGATTCTCTGTCTTTTACTTTAGATGAAAATAAGGAGCCACTCCCCACGCCCCTCTGAGAGATATTTGGTTAAAAAGAACTCAATGGTGCTCTAGGAGGAGATTCAGGTGATAAGGTGGGGGGGGGGGGGGGGGGGGGTGGGTACCTTGGTTGGTGATTGGCTAATGCTTACACAAGCCAAAACAATCGTTATGACATCATAAAGTGGCCAAACTCTGATCAGCTCATTTTCAGACAGGTTTCTATATAAATGGATCAGGACAAAAAGTGAGCGAATCTTTTTTCCTGAAACTTTCAGAATCTCTTTACACAGAGGGGACACATGCTGATGTATAAAAGACATGAAAAAGTGGATAGGTGACCATTAAGATTTTCCCCCACACTATCATAATTTCCCTTTTAATTCTTGAAAGTACCTGTAAAGCCGATCTTCTCGTAGCAGAGCAGGCCGAAGATGCTGTTGTAGAGCTGCATGTCTCTGCGGTGACTCTGGTCCATATCTCCCAGAATGCCCATCAGCTCCGTCCCAGTCTTGGTGGGGTGGGAGCACTCGCTCTCGTGGGCCGGCAGCTCTTGGAACGGACCCTTCCAGGGGCAGCCGATCCTCTTGTACTTACACTGCGTCACCCTGGGGAATAATAATGGTGAGTTAAAAGACAAACTTTGTACAATATTAAATATTAGAAAGATATTTACAGAGGAGCTTTTTGACAAATACATGTCCTTACCCCGCAGTGAGTGGAAGGTTTAATAATACCGAAAGGAGGCTATTAACTTAGGTGTTGAACCGAAGCTAATTGTACTGGACAAATAATACAATTCAATTACCTCCTTTCATTCTTAATGAATACCTGTTACGTACTCAGTCTAAAAGTGAGGTAATAATAATGTGTACGGTAATGGTTAGCCTCTGAAGTGAACTAAAACCACACTTACGTAACTCACTTCCTGTTACCTGCAACTTTTGTCTCATACATATAACCAAGTAGCTTTAAGAGGTTTAGTAGTTTGGACTCAAATAACTTAAAAATATCTTTTATCACTACATGACAATTACTGATTTAGAAATGAGTTTTCACTGTGACTTTATAACATCTGTGCAGGGACTACAGATACAACAATGGCTAACGCAGTAGGAAGATGTATTATTGTGCACTGTCCCTGTCTAATAAACAAACAAATAAAGTAAAAATGTAATTTATTTGACATCTTATTTATTTTACACATAATTTTCCTTGTTTGGAAATTGTAATGTATTTTATTATTTGAGAATGCTATTGGCTGCTTTGTAATACCTTTTTATTTTATTTTCATTACACTTTCCTTCTTTTTGTTATTAAATAAATGATCGTCTGAGTGTAACTAAAGGTTGAATGAAAAGCATCCCTAAATGAAAAGTAACAGTGGCATTAATAAAGGAGAACAGCGTCATCTGTATTAAAGACGCAGTCGGATCCTCGCCCCACATTTTTCCGTCTGACCCAACCAGAAACCTGGTGACTACCTTGGATGTTGTCATGGCAACATTAGCACGGGCACAGCTGTCCTGAGCAGGGTCACCTGTTGCTATAGCAACAAGCCCATAGGATTTCATGCATTATAGCTCAACCAGCCTGAACGTCACACAAACACACACTCATAAGCAAACACACAAGCAGTGGATCCCATCAGCTGCTTTCCTTCCTCAGAGTTAGCAGCTGGTCACATGCTCCGCCATCTTCCCCAAATTAACTCTATGTGATACCACACACACACACACACACACACACACACACAAACACAAACACACACACACCACACACACACACACACACACACACACACACACACACACACACACACACACACACACACACACACACACACACACACACACACACAGTCACACAGACACAGACACACACAGACACACACACACACACACACACACACACACACACACAGACACACACATACACACACACACGGGCACACAGACAGGCACACACACACAAAGATACTACTGGCAATTTTGTGTGGTGGTATGCACTCAGCTTTTATTTTAATGTTTCCATTTTCTTTAACTTTCAGCATCTTATTTTTTTAAAATACCTTCCAGCTTGAAATATTCATTCAAGCTCGATAACTCTTCCTTCAATGTCTCTCAGTATCACCCCCCCAGTGCCATCTTTGGAGCTATTTTTGAGATTTTGGCCAAACCTTTCCTTAAGGATCTTGACATCTCTTCCCAAAATGTTTCTAATTTAGGGCATGTCCAAAATATGTGGGCATAGTTACCAATTAGCGAACCACAACTTCTCCAAGATCTATTAGAGCCTGTGTGGGGAAAAGGTGAGAGTGTGTGTGTGAGTTTGTGTGTGCTGTATACCTGTCTTGGCAATCCTCTTTCTGGTGTCTCTCTAGGCTGGAGCGGGGGAACTGTTTTGTGCAGTAGGCGCACTCTGTCGGCAGCTCGCTGACAGCCTTCTCCACGGCCAGGTTCCTGCAGCACAGGTTCTTGCTGATCTCACACCTACACACACACACAGGAAGCCACATGTCACCCCTCAGTGCAGTATAACATGTGTGGTATGTAAAGAATGTTTCTACAAGTTCTTGAACAATGCACAGTGACGAATTGCTAGTTACGTTATGCTTTGGCAACAGTTGGTGGTTATTTCATCATACTGCAGATGTGTGAAATTACTGTCAACGTGCAAAACCAAAACAAGTTATCTCTTCCTGTGACCATGCAGTAGTGATGAATGTGAGAGTATGCAATGCATTTTGATTCTGAGAACTTAATGAATTTAACTAGCTTTTGAAGGCATCTTACAGTCATTACTGTAATAATGTTGTTCTGCTGTTTGTCATACTGATATTCTGCACACACTGTGAAGACCACTGAGACAAATGTAACATTTGTGATATTGGGCTATATAAATAAACATTGATTGATTGATTGATTGATTGATTGATTGATTGATTGACATCATTCTTACCTTGCATTAGCTCAATTAAATATGGGGTTTTTTCAACTCCAGTTGGTATCAGCTAGCATCACATACTCTGACTGAGAACTTCGAGACAAACAAATCAGGTTTTTGCATCATGTATTTAATTGGATAAAATGATATATATTGTCCACATTATTTGGCCAGAAAATGAGTTATTCTCTACTTGGTGTCTGTGCACAGTATAACTGTTTTCAAACAGCAGTATGGGAACATATGAGAATGTTTATAACCAAAATGTAATATTTAAAACCATACAAAATGATCTAGTATCATTAATTTAATTATTTAACAGTCCCTTATTCTATAGTACTTCTCATTTCCCTTCTCCCCCACCCCCCCAACTCGTTTTAAGCTGAATGTCACGTCCCCCTGAGTTGATTGGAGGGTAATTCAGAACACCTGTTGCACAGGGTGTGGGGACAAGCTCTTGATTAAGAATTGACAGCAGCTTGATGTATTTCCCCTCCTGGCCAATCAGGGTGTGACAACGCCCTTTCTTTAGGGCTTAAAGGCACACTCACACCTGTGCTCCCCTTTCCCAGTTCAATTCCATTCCATGAGAGCAAAGGGGCTTTGAGTAGAGTTCAACTTTGTCGCCTAAATATCGCCTCAACTGTCCCTGGCCTGCTTTGGCCCCTACCTGATACCGGTAGGTCACTGTAAAAACAGGGCATTTTGATCCTTCCTCCACTTAATACAAACCTCATGCTAGCAGATATTGTCAGCCAGAAAGTCTAGGCACTTTTGAGCTGTGTTTGCTGTCTTGACTCTTTTTTTTTGATGAAATCTAGATTGAGTAAATATTTAAAAAGAACTTTCCACCTGCATCAGGGCAGATATTGGCACCATTCATGCAATAGTTTAGACATTTTCTTAAAATTGAAGGTACACTTTTTTTTCTCATTGTGACACACTTCTGGGATTTGTACATATTGTATGTGGTTTGAAAATGAGTTATCCGGCTTCCTCCCATCCCGCTCGAAGTACCTGCAGTTGGGACACGTGGCCTGTTCCTCCTTGAGACGAGAATCGGCCAGAAGGTGGATGAAACAGCCTGCACACATCAGGTGTCCATTGGAACACTGTGGTGGGGAAAAAAGACGAGGGCACAATCAATCAAAAAAAGTGTTAAAAACAATTATTATATTCATTAATCTGGATCCTAAGTGGGAAGAGACTGAGGGAAAATGTTTATAGTAGTGCAATCTAAACTTTCTCTTGTTACTTAAATGTAAACCTATATATTTTTTACGACTAGGATTCATTAAACAGTATTAATTGGGACATCTTGAATATTATATTTTGGTTAAGTATTTTAGAAGAAACGGGATACTAATCTTGGAAATTTTATTTATATTTCAATCAAAACGCATAATTTGTTCAGTTAATGCTAGTCTTTCTTAATAAAAGTCATAAAACAGGATTGTTTAAAGCCGCTAAAATCATTTGAGTAGCAGAAAAGCAGAAGGAACAGAAGTATTTCTGTAGAGCGGATATAACTGGAGTTGTATACTTTTCTATGTGAAAAAAAATAGGGATATGTAAGATATGTGGACTACTTGTTGTGCTTCTCTTAATCAACGCATTTTAAGAGCAGAATATTGTGTAAGGAGAGAATGTTATCTTTTGTTAACACAGTATTGTTAATAAATGGTAAATGACTGTTTTAACGTGTGAATGCCACGTAAATGTTTAGGACTAACTAAACAATTATTTATTACCATTGTGTTCACTTGACATTGAAGAGAGCACTTTGAGGTCATGGAGAATGTTTGGGTCGGTCAAAGGGCAAAGGTTGAATAAAATTAAAGTTTTGGTTAAGTGCTGGATGTTTGAGTTTTATGTGGGGGTTGGGGATGTGGCTTTGCTGAGGGTTATTCGGGGATAATTCACAGTATAATGTCATACAGCTGGCCCTGGGCCTGGGTGTGTCTCATGGCTCAGCTTGCAGAACTGGGGCCTGTGTTGTATCTAGTATCAGTCCAAACGGAGCTGGCCAACACATTCAACAGGTTGGGGATCAGCAGTTGGCACACTTTGGGGTGTCTCTAGTATGAGGACCAGCTTGTTTGCTGTTTGACAGTGTTTTTTTTAGGATTATTGTGAGGGACCGTAGGTTTGTGATTGACACCGTGTTTACCTGATATACAGACGCCTTGGGCAAGTCTATGCACACGGTGCAGCACAGCACTGAGTACAGCCTCTCCTCCAGCTTTCCTGACTCTCCATCGGGCACTCTCACCCTCTTCTTGGGTGGCTCGTCTGGGTCAGGCTCGGGCCCTTCTCTCCGGATCCCGACCTCCTCCTGCATGGCTGCGATCCCGGCGACAGCCTCAACCGCTGCCCCCACGGCCCCGACCCCCATGCCGGCCGAGGAGGAGCCAGGGGCGGCCACACCATCTCTCTCTTCCAGTGAAGACATGACGACGGCTGTCTAGATATTTCCGAGGTGTACCTGCCGCTGAGCCTGAAATATTAGCAGGTTAGCTCAGTGCTAGCGTACAACCTGTCAGGCTAACGGTCAGCTGACAGCTAGCTAACGTCGGCTAGGCTAACGCTCCGGCAGCAGGCTGTCAGAGAGGAATGCAAACTAACTTATTATTATTATCAATGCCACCCGCCACTTAAAATGTAACATACCAATGTGTTATAACGAGATCATGTGCATAATAACAACTTAATTAGACTAGTTGTGTTGACTTACAGTGAGACTAGCAGACTATGCGGCTAGCTACGTTGACAAAAACACAGCAGTCCTCTCCCTCTGCAGAACAAAAACAACTCTGCTCGGCTCTCAGCTGTTGTTGCTCTCGACGCCGTTATTCGCCCTGACAGCAGATTACAACGATGTACACCGGTGGCCCAGCTCGGTTCCTCATCTACCCTCCCTGCTCCGGTACCGACTGATTGTCCGCAGAGGACCCACTGGACCTGTCGATGATTAAAGCCGCGGGTAGAGACAGTTCTGCTGGGACTCGTCTCTCTGGTTACACAGCCATCTTTGTTTTTTTGTTCCTGTCCGTCTCCCCCGACTTCACCCTGCACAGCCTTAACGACTGCGGGTCAAATTCGTTATTACTCAGGCAGGTTCTCGATGGTGGCAAATAAATAATGTCATCACAAGTTAAATATGCTGTCTCCAACGGCCTGTATGTGGCAGTGACTACTTCAGCACAGCCGTGTGTTTGGCTGACAGCGGAATGTTTATTATGGCAGATGACTTGGGGTATTTAAAGAGTTTTTAAACGCGCATGCGTAGAAAGCACCTGCGGGTCAGTGTGTATGGCAATACGTGAAAGGTGATCAAAACCTGATATGCGACAAAATTAGGCCCCTCCATCAGAGGACGCATATTGTATGTACTATGGACGAGACGTACACATTATAAGACTTAATGGGATTTCTAACAAAACTTCACAACAAAACACCTTGTCTCTGCTGCCATGTGTATAGCTATGTACGTGGCAGCAATCTATCAAAAGTGGTTCAACTCAGTTGAACCACTTTTGAGGGTCCCTTACAACCAGTTGAATCAACTGGTTGTAAGGGACCCTGTGTTTGTGTATTAAAGAAGCATTCATAATTCAGCCAGAAAAACAGGGTGATCAAAGAAAAACCTTGGCAACTGATACTAGGTCAAACATTTATAAGCGTATTCATCCCTTTAGTGCCACAGATATGTGGCTTAGCAGCCTCAGGGACTGGGAGGGGCACATTTGTGTACAGGGTGGGGGGCTGTGTGTGTGTCCTTTGGGTTAGTCCTTAGGTGGGGCAGGATGTCAAAGTGTCAGCTGTCTACATTTGGGAGGAATAAGACTAACCACTCCCATTGGACAGACAGATAAGCCTTATTTGGCTGTGGAGCTCAGCTATGCATGCAGTTCAGCCTCTAGATGTTATCATATACTGTCCTCCAATGACTACACTGGATCTTACCACACATTTGTCAACATATTGCCAAAGCTTGCTAATGTACTGGCTGTTAATCATCACATGGTTACAGTGCTAGGAATATCCATTTAGATCAGTTTGTTGTCAAACAAACCAGTACAAAACACGAAAAATAAACAGTCAGAAAGATGGCATTTAAGAGTTTAGTAAATATGGCAAACTTTTACCAGGACTAAGATGAAAAGTTTTCTATACAAATACTTTTAGTTTATGATGGTATAGTAAATAAATGTTGCTAGATAAACTATCCCATCACAGATTTCTAGGAATTGACTTGAAGGGGATGGGTTAGTGTCCAAACACAAGCAATTTAAAAATAGCTTCCACTAGGACTGGCAGACACGATAACATATCAGATCCTCAAAGTTAAATATGGCTTTCAGGAAGGTTAAATGTAACAACCAAAACACAAACACTACAGACATGTACTACAAAGTAGGTTCATGGTTACAACACAACTTTAGCAACAATGACAAACTGCAAAAGTTTTAAATCAAAGTTAAAACAAAGTCTCATCATCTATGATTGCAGGACACACATTTATAACGTTTATCTAGCCTCGTCAATCAGACCCTCATTAATCCCAGCAGAGTAAATCACATCATCTGCAGGTCATTCAAGGATTCAGCTGCCAGGAAATCAGCGGTATTGTCCGGCACAATGAAAGTGATGATCCTGATCTAATCACATGGTTAAGCAGGAGATTGACATTGAGGCCCAGACTGCGCGGCTGGCTGGGTGTTGGTGGTGCGAACAATCGGTTTGTCATAGTTTTCAGCTGGGTGGTGTGCGCTGGCTGTGGTGGGGTTGTGCATTGAAGAGGTGAAGTTCTGCTGATGTAGAGAGTGAGACACCGCTGCTGGATCGGAGGATGGGTGGGGATGGGTTGAAAGACCGGTGGGAGTTTGTGGAGCTGTTTTGGTGGAAGGTGGTGAACATGGAGGTGAATACTGTTGGTTTTGTTTAGAGGGTGTCTTTATATGGGATGAAAGCTTATCTTGGGCTCGGCGAGGGGCATCGAGCTGGTTTAAGTCAACACTGGTGCTAACTGGAGACGGAGATTCCAATGGATCCTGTGTTTCTGGTGTGCTAGAAGAGCCAGAGTCTGGTTTCTGTTCACCAGGTGTGGCCTCTGGAAGTGTGTGCGCTTGTATCTGTGGAGATATGGTGTAAACTGTACTTGTCTTTTTTGATGGTTGCCGTGGCGTTTTGTCTTCATCAAGGCCTCCTCCCAATCTTATCTCTGTTTGTTTATCATCATGCCTGCTGAACTCTGTATGTGTGGCTTCTCCCCCGCTGCTGATGTGTCCTCTCTGTGTCATTGTTTCTGCTGCATTGGTCTGGGCTTGTCTCTGGACTTGTCTGGGCTTGTCTGGTTCTGCTCCAGCATCTGTTGTGTCCCTCTGAGTTTTGTCTATGAGCGCCCTCTGCCTGCAACCTGAAGCCATAGTCTTCACCCAGGGGTGCAGCAGGGTCTGCTCGGCTGTCAGCCTCACTGCGGGGTCTGGCTGAAGCAGAGCTCGGACAAGGCCTTTGGCTTCTGCACACAGATACACACACACATGAGAATAAGAAACAGTTTGTTTATGTTTGTGTGTATATGCATTTGTAGCAGCACACTTTATTTGTCTGTACTTCTCACCTTCTGAGATGGGGTCCCAGTAGGGGGGCAGGAAGTGGAGTTGTCCCTGTTTTATCAGCTGGAACAACTCTTCCTGGTCTCGATCCCGACTGCGAAATGGGGGAAATCCACACAGCAGGACGTAGAGGATAACACCCAGAGCCCAAACATCCACTGCAACACCATAACCTGTGGGGTCAAACCACATTTAGTTTGTAAAATACCCCTAAAATCAGATGAAAGTGTTCGGAAGAGCTTTAAAACAAGAAACCTTGTTTTTCAGTGATGCATACAGATTTAAAGTAAAAATCAACTTAAGGAAGTGATTTAAAAAGCTAACGGCACCAACCTGTCTCACAGAGGATCTCTGGGGCTACATACGTGGGTGTGCCACATATGGTGAACACTGGTTCAGTCACAACCATGGCGAGACCAAAGTCTCCCAGCTTCAGCCTACAGATGCCAGAAGCCACACGCTCTATCTGAAACGGAACAAAAAAACAACAACAAACAGATTGAGACATGGAGGTGTTGACACTTTCTTTTTTAAATTCAATTTCTTCAGGATACGTGGTTGTTACAGACACTTGGATTTTAGTTTTTTGCAAATTGTTGATAGTTTGTGTCACCACTTTAACTCCAGATTAAGTTAGATACTATGAATTGTACTGGTATTACAACATCACAATGTGGAACAGTCTGATATGTGAACTGTTGCCTACAATAAAGATGGTTTTAGTGTTTTAAGTTTAAGTAATTTTCATGTTAATCCCATAGAAATTGATATGAAATTCTCAAATCCCACTGACACTCACCAGAAGGTTTTCTGGTTTGAGGTCTCGGTGGACGATGCTCTTGCAGTGGATGTAGTTCAGTGCTCCGCTCACGTCTGACACCATCAGTCCTGTTTCGGCCTCTGGAAATGTCCCCCTCTCACTGATGGCCTCAAACAGATCCCCCCCGCTCACCATCTCCATCAACAGGTACGAGTGAGTGTGCGTGTGGTGGTGCGCAAACAGCCGTATTATGCGAGGGTGACGGAGGCTACCCAGAAGGCTCAGCTCGTTCTGCATCATGTGCTCTCGACCAATCAGCTTAGAGCGTTCAACAATCTTCACAGCAAGGATTTGTCCATTGTCACGGCGGCGGCACTCTCGCACTACAGCGAAGTTACCATCTCCAACGGCACGTCCAATTTCATAGCAACGCTCGATATCTGCCAGATTGACATCACTTCCGTCTGATGAAAGGTCAAAGGTCGGCCTCCACTGTATGTCCTTGTGTATTTGATCCTCATCTGGGAGTTGATTTGAGACTAATTGGGCAACGCTCTTCTCCTCTTCTCTGCTGATTGTCTGAGGAGGCGGAGGGCTGTTGTGAACATTCAACTTTCTAACTTCCTGATCTGCATAAGAACTTCCTTTTTGCTTCCTCAACACAGGAGGAAGTGGGACCCTCCCTGACAGGGGAGTGAGCCGCTCTGGACCCTGACGTTTAGCTCTTCTTGTTAAGCATTCTTCACACAGAGTAGGAAAAGGTATCTCTTCTTTAAGAGCTTCATCGTGTTTAAAGGGACCAATGACAGACGTCAGCCGCTCTCTGGTCTCGCCCCTCACGTGCAGTCTCTGCAGGTGGTTTGGCAGGTGAGATGGTTTTCTGCATGAATTCTTTTTGTGACACTTCTGAACGTCTGGGTTGTAATTGTCGAGCTGGTGTGTATCTATATGCTGTGTACTTGTGTGTGTGTTATTGTGATTTTTGACATGATGTGCATCTGTGTCCTGGTGTGCCTCTTGGTCAGTGTGTGTCTCACTGCTGTCTGTCCCTTCACTGTATCCACTGTCGGCTTTAGCAGCTTTATCTGGCGCTGGTCGAAGTCTTTTCTCCCAGGCCCGTAGTGCGTCAGCCCGGTAATGAGATTGTTCTGGAAACAATTCCTCCAGAGCCTCCTGCACACCGCTTAGCTCTGGACGAACCTTCCCTAGGGCCAGAAAAGCCACTTCGCCTCGGAAGAAATCACATATACCTTTCACCTATGGAAAAAAATTAAGAAATTGTGTTTTTGTTAGTTTAATGTGAGAGCGATGTTTTTCTTGAGGGGCACAATCACAAGCGGCATAATTTCTCTAAAAACGCCAGTCAGTATGACAGCAGAAAGCCACTGAGCAATATGTCTGTGCCTTAGAGTGTATATAGATCAAATGTATTGGAGTTTCTCTCCTTGCAAGTGGTGCTCCTACAGAATAGAACAACCTAGCCTAGCCCAGCGTGGAACCCCTGGGTAATTAGATGTTGAGAACTGTCTTTAAAGAGCTCTGTATAAAGTTAAATCTGTCTCGCACAATCGGAAGCTGCCAAGTGAATATCATGCTTGTTAAGTCAAGTCTGGATTACCAACTGCGAAAAGAGGGTCTTATTATTTTGCATTAATGCGCACATGTGTCACATAACTAGTACTGCACAGCCAAACTGAGGGGAAGGTTCAAACTGCAGAGCATGCAGGAAGAATGTTGAAATTATTATAAGCAGCCCTTCTGTGTATTACGGTCTGGTTGAGCTTCACCTCTCGTGCGTGGGTCGTGTAAAGGCGTGTGACTCTGGCTCTGTGCCAACGAGGAAACCCCAACGCCTCAGAGATATCCAATAGCAGTTGCTCGAAGGACACCACACCTCTGCGGTTCAACAGGACTGTTACCTTGAAAACAGAGACAAAAATCATGTTTAAATGATGAAATCCTTACCCATAAATGACTGTTTGAAATTAAATGAGAACATATGGGTTGCCAGGTTGTGAAAATTCCCTCTGCATGCATTTGGGTATTTTTTGTTGATCAGGAAACCCACACAGATTGACCACAATGCTGCAAAGCAACACCACTATTATACTGTTTTTCATCAATATATTATAGGTCTCAGATATATACAAAACATGTCTCTGAAGTGTTTGGCTCGAAATACCAAACAGTTCTTGTATTGTAGCATCCCATAACCCCCTCTGTTTCAGCCCTGTTTCAAAAGTGCTGATTCTCTGTCTGTTACTTTAGATGAAAATAAGGAGCCACTCCCCTCTGAGAGATATTTGGTTAAAAAGAACACAATGGTGCTCTAGGAGGAGATTCAGGTGATAAGGTGGGAGGTGGGGGGGTTACCTTGGTTGGTGATTGGCTAATGCTTACATAAGCCAAAACATCGTTATGACATCACAAAGTGGCCAAAATCTGATCAGCTCATTTTCAGACAGGTTTTTATATAAATGGATCAGGACAAAAATAGAGCAAATATTTTGTCCTGAAACTTTCAGAATCTCTTTACACAGAGGGGACACATGTTTATGTATAAAGAACATGAAAAAGTGGATTTTGCATGATAGGTGACCTTTAATGTTAATAACGTCAGGCTTGGTGGCTTATTAATAAGTGTAAAACCCATTCAGAATGATCATGTTCCAAACATGTATTATTATTACCAAATTGAAATGATAACCACCCAACCTTTCAAACACCTTAAATGTTCTATGTTACATTAGTCTATTAAATAACCATTAATTAGACTATTAGTTACAATCTATAAACCTTGAATATAATATTTTAATTCCCTTGTTCAAATAGCTAAATCTCACCTTGCGCAGAGTACTTTGACTACAGGGCCGTATGATGGTGACCAGATGGGGCCTCTCTGCGCTCTCTTCTGCATGGCGGGTGTGGAAGAGAGGGAGGGGAGGAGGAGGGGGGAAGTGGGACCTGTGGACATGTGCCGCAGGGCGGGGCTGAATGGGCCAAGGTTGGGGTGCCCCACCAGCACGCTTCAACAAGGGGACAGGAGGAACTGAACACGGGTAGAAATGGAGGATAAGGGTGACAGCACAAAGACAGAAAGCAAGAGTGGGATTATTGAAAGTGCGTTCAATAGCACTGATGTCATCATATTGTTTCTTCAAGACTTTTATACAAAGGAAAACTCATAAGTAACACAACACCAGTTCGTCATCGTGTTAGTGTGTGTGTGCGCGTGTGGGAAAACAAATCCGGCTGATCAGATTTGAGTGTTTTCCATCACACGGAGTGCATGGCCATTTGAGATTCTTCAAACACCTGGCTGAATTATTTAGGTTTCCTTAAGTCATGCACACCCACACAACACAACTACACAAAAGCTTGCCTGACCTGGTTAGGGCTCAGCTGAATATGCATCATTGATGAAGCATTAGAGACACACACAGCATCTTTGACGTTTCACTTTCTGGCACCGAGGGAGGCGGAGAGATGCTATCTGTCCAGCCAGTGGGGGTTTGTTTTTTGTTTTTGTTTTGAGATGCAGAACAACAGACAGAAACACAAGACCCGTATACTTCTATAATTGACCAGTGACCCCACATTTAACTAGAAACCATTGCCCCCCTGAGTGTGAGGGCACAAACAATCACACAAAGTCTTGACAATTAAAGTTTGGACACAAAGAAAAAACGTCCATATCCTAAACTATATTATTACAGCAGGACACTTCAATAGTAAGTAAAAGTAAAATCACATGTCTCAAATCATAATAGTTTACATTTTACCTCACAGCTAAATTAAATGGAGTGCAATGTGGGTCACAGCCTTTTACTCTTTTAAAATATAGTGTGGTCATAGTAGCCAATTTCACAGATGGTTACAGATAATTTCCTTCTTTCCAGTTTAAATACTTTGAAGATTCATATTTGTAACTCAAGTTGAAAAATTAATAAGTCACTTTATATTTCTTATGTAAAATGTCAATATTACACAGACCAACATTACGGAAAACCAGAATAACAATTCAACAAAAAATGCATATGGCATATGATCATATTGATATTATATAATTAATTACAGGCTTAAAATGGTAAATGTAATATGCTCTAATTTCCTGAACATACTTTATCTCTTCAAACATTCTAAAGTATTGATGTATTGAAAATACATTACATTGGTATTATTAATGTTATTATTTAATATAGCCTATGACCATCCCTCACATAAATAATAACTTATTCGACAAATATCTTAATTTAGTTATAATTTGTATGATTAAAATACTTGTGTAATACAATGCTATCCCTCAGACTCCTTATAAGATTTTAAATATTTTAACTAAGTAATTTCAATCCGGGTATCGACTCACCTGCCATTCTCCATTTAGTGTTTCGCGCTGCTTCGCATCCATAGCGAGCTCTCTGTGAGGGCATCATGACTCTCAAAAACGAAATATCTAACTCAATCTAGTTTATTTTTCATTCGTTTTTATTCCTCCATAAATCCCCGGCTGTTTAAAGTAACGGTTCAGTCTGTGAGATTAACGGACATGGTGTATAGCTACTGTGGTTACCATGGATATTCGTCAAGTTGAACGGCTGGCCGCTGGAGAAGAGAAAATAGCGGAAGTGGGGCGATTTCGCCGTCAAAATAATATATTTTGAAGTTAATATTGTGATGTCGTGGGCCTATCTACAGAGCAGCACACTTTTAAATAAACATGTGGTTGTCATTTATATACAAATCTAAGAAAAGCGACAATTTTTCTTATCAATGTAGGCTACGTTATGCTTGTAGATGGTTGGATCATCAACGACGTTTTATTTTTGAAAGTTCTGACCGGAACTGTACCGTTTTGTACTTTTGTTCATATTATATTATTTATTATGGCAACTAACCACCTGAAAATGAATACATCACTGTCAAAGGTTTTGTAAAATAAAAAAGGAATTGAACTGCATGTTTTAACTCCAGGCTTGTAAGTGATGTGAGGCTATCTCTATCTGGGTTGTTTTAGCCATCCGGCCATGGCATTGACGGTCATGGTTGTAAAACCTATTGTCTCAGCACCTTTATCTCCCTGATTTGTTGAGTTATAGCTGTTTAATTTGTATAATGGTTCCAACATAATCATTTTTACAGAAACAAATAATTAATCGATGTCAAATACAAGGAGTTCCACAACATGCCCAATTATACCAGGGAAAGGTGCAACAGTAGCCTAAGATAAAATGATTAAAATGCAGTTTTGCCAGGTTGTTCACAAAGATCAATCAATTGACATCATTACCTAATTTCTTTGATTATATCTTTAAACCTAAACAGTAACATTTAAGAAAAAGCTTTTAAATATAATAACGAATCTGGAAGAGCCACCTGTTGCACTGGTTCCTCACCTGAAATTCGGGACCCTCACACGGGGTTGTGAATGAATTTGAGGCCTTGATGTGATAGATATCAGAAAAAGAGAAAAAACAAGTTTCTATTGCATAACATTTCTTGGAATCTTTTTTCTTGCTAAATACGGAATCATCCTTTTTCTTATTTCAATCAGGAAAAATCATTTGTTTGTTTATTAACTGAATGGGTCATACATATGCATGAGGGGTGCAAGTTAGCATGGTCCCTAGCACGAAAGCTTAGTAATACTAAAGGCCTATGCTAACCATGGCCATCCGTCTTTCTCTGCCTTCATGTAATGTCTGCTCTACATTCACTATAGAAGTAAGAATGCGTCTAATTACTTAGAAAAAGGCTTACAGAAACCCACAACTTAGCCTAGTATAGTGTGCACTTTTAGAAAGTAAACTCTTGCTAGGATGTACAACCTGCAAATTCATGGACTTCCCTTATATTTCCCTAATAGTAGCATCTGCCATGTGAAAACCTGTCTCTGTGTTAACTGGAGAGTTAGTGAGGGATACAAAAAAACACATGTCATACAAAACCTTTTTGGGAATGACTGGAAAGACGTTATGGTGTAAAATCACAATGACAGAGAGGGGGGGAGTTACCATAGTTTCACTGAAGGAATCCAATACTCAGCCTCGCACACCTACACAAACACATTCACACTCAGTGTCCGGTTGATCTTTTAATACGCTGCCCCCCATGGCTCTGTCTCCAAGGATACTGTTGAATCTGTCAGCAACAAATCCTCTTCCGGCTTTGCATCCTGGACTGACCGAGAACCAACAGTGGGTCTGAACAATAAAAGTGCCAAATAGTGATTATCCAAAACCATCCATTTATTTTCACCATATTATTATAGGTACGATACGATAATACTTTATTTGTCAGATCAAGTCTGAAATTTGACTTGCGTCACAGCAGCTCCATGTCCAACATCAACAGACAAGTATCCAGACACAATACATGAAACACAAACAACAAACATTTAACATAACAGCACAATCAGTGAGAGAAAACATACTCAAAGAGCCTTTAGCGTGCATTTGATCTGGGATTTAGCTCTGTTTACTGTGAGGATTGACTGATGCACAAAGGAGTGCTTCAGTCTGACTTTATTGAATCGTGGGACCCTGTATCTCCGATTAGATGGTAGCAGTTCATATTCACTGTTCAGAACATGGTTTGGGTCAGAGATGATGTTGTTGGACAGCCTCACTAGGTTGTTATGATAGGCTGAGTCATAGAGTCTCTGACAGGGTTTACCAACAATCTTTGAGCAGATTTTTAACAGGTGGAGCAGTTTTGATTTTAAAGCTGCTGACAAACATTTGTACCCGGTAGTATTGCAGTTCTGTCTTCTGTTTCGAAAACATATCTGATTAATTATGAAAGCAATTAGTTGTTGTATTATATTAAACGTCATAGGTTTTTGAAATGTCAGGTTTTTAACATGTAGAAATAAGATTAATTTTATGCTTACCTTTTTAGTACATTTAAATATACAGATGTTCATAGACAAAGTGTAGTTTAAACCTATATTAACAGGTTTTTTCAATGTTCTCTTAGTCTGAAAGAATATATGCTAAGGAAACAAAATAGCTTAAACTATGACCAGTATGTGTCCATGAGATGACATGCAACATGTCTGCAGCTGGATTTAAACAGGAAATTGTGATTATATAGCCAGGATCTTAACCCCATAGGCCACCGACCAGAGGAACACGTGTTTTCATAATTTCAAGATTTCTCCGGGTGGATTACTATAAAATTGATTATTACTTATTTATTTTATGAAGAGATTGATGGTCATCTCGTTATTCCACAGGACTAAGAGTCTCATAACAGCACACATTTCGTTTTTGGCTCATAATCTTGACCCAATTATATTTTAGTTCACATTTTATGAGTGGTGGTTTGACCACAAGGGAAATACACTAATGATGCACCACTAGTATGTGTCCAGCAGAGGGAGGAGTGTGTCTGCGGTGTGTCCCAGCAGCCACAGCAGCTGCCCACATGCATGTGGAGTGTTTCCCTGAAGAACTACCCAGCTAGATAAACAAGAGACAATTCATCTTGTAATTACATCAAGATGATGTTTTAGGATACAAATGTAGAATCCTATCGTGGTATGCAGTGGTATTATTCAGGTTTGATTCTCACAACTTTCTTTCCACCAAATGAATTCCAAGAAACAGAGTAATCTGAAATATTGAATACATGTTGCATCCTTGAAAAACTAACGGACTGTTTCTACCTCTTTTTTAGGTTGCGGCTGGCTCACCAGAGGATTCACAGAACAACTCAAGGAATGGGCACGCGCGCGCGCACACACACACACACACACACACACACACACACACACACACACACACACACACACACACACACACACTGCAGTTCAATGTATGCCAAAAGCCCCTAATGAGGCACCCGGGTTGCCAGGTTGTAAAACTAATTCCCCCTTTTTTCCCATTTAGTGATATTTGCTAAGGGGTTGACTTATCATATTGGTCAGATAGCTTATCCATAATAATAAATCATCATTCATTTTGTATTTATATTTTATAGTAGTTTAGTTACTCAGTAGTAGTTTAGTTACTCAGTGAGATGCCTAAGGCAGGGCTCGACATTTTAAATGGCCCGCTGGCCCGGAAGCACTATTTAGACTTCAAAATTGCAAGAGTTACCCCCCTGCACAAAAAGGGCAGCAAATTGGACCCAGGCAACTACCGCCCTGTTTCTATACTTACCTCCATCTCGAAAGTCATGGAAAAAATAGTATATGAACAGGTCGAAAAGTACCTCGCGGAAAAGAAACGAATCTATGAATTTCAATCTGGCTTTAGAACATCCCACTCCACTGACACATGCCTTCTTTATTTGAGCGACCACATCAAACAAGAGGTGGACGAGGGCACGTACTGCGGCATGGTGATGCTGGACCTACAAAAGGCTTTCGACACTGTCAATCACCCCATTATGATTGACAAGCTAAAAGCAATTGGTTTTGATAAACTATCGGTGAGCTGGATGCAATCCTACCTGGAGGGGAGAGAACAGATGGTGGAGGTAAACGGTACTCTGCCCCCCCCCCCCCCCCTCCCCCTCCCAGTGAGCTGTGGTGTTCCACAAGGAAGCATATTAGGTCCGTTACTGTTCCTGGGTCAATATCACTATAAAGTAACTTTGGTGTCCCCATCAGAATCACGAAAGTTATCATGAAAATGTAGCAGAATAATGAAACTCTGAGGTCTTATTATAAATGGCCAAACATTGACACACATATCAGTACAATGATAAGTCTCTTGAAATGTGTTTCCTTCCTTTTATACCGTATTTTTTAATTGGATGTACGTGATTTTGGCATGTCCCACGCACTGCTCTGCTAACTACAGTGTGTGTAATAAATGGTTAAATGATACTAAATACAAAAAATAAAAAAATAGTTTTATTGTCCACAACGAGTTATTTGATAAAACAAGTCATTTTGATCATGTATATTCTATTTTAATAATAATATTGAACATTTTGCATGTGTCCTTGACATTTCCTGTCCACCCTGTCATTATGGGGAAACTGCCCCATAAAAAAACATCTGATGTTTTCAGTGACATCACTACCACCATTTTGTCTTTCTTCAGTGGAGGCTGAGACATTGGCTAGTTGCAGAGTAAGTATGTACACTTATATTTCGTGATTTTAATCATATTATGTGTAGTTGGATGTTGTCAAGCTTAACATGTCCACTCTGTCATAGTTACATTTCAATTAATATAAAAACATTTCAGAAATTCGAACTATATTTGTTAAACAGTACACAGTCACCTTGCTAACTGAATCCTGTTGCTAACTGAAGGTCCACCATGTGCTCATTAAATGCTAATATTAGCCAAAAATGTCCACCCTGTCATTGTCCACCCTGTCAGCAAGCCTTCCATGACAGGGTGGACATGGTTCGTGACAGGAAGGACATGCACATAGTTTATGCCACATGCTAATAAATGTGTGTAATATTATAATAGCTATTACACACATTTTATAACAGTCCATGCTATACATAGTAGGAGTGGACAATATGGACTTTTTTTGGCAATTTCGGTATCAGCAAGCCTAGTTTGATAAAGCAAGTCGAGTTTACCTGGACCGCCAATTAAAGTGTGTAAGGGAACATTTTGAATTGTCTTTTTCAAGGAATGAGCTCAAAAGGAGCTGAGATAGCGAGGAGATATCGGGAACGTCGTGATGCTGACCCGGACAGAAGAAGAAAGTACCTTGAGAAAGAGAGGGACAAATGGAAAAAAGACAGAGAGACTGGAATGAAGAAGGGTGTCAATGAGCTTAGTGAGAGAGCGAAGAGGGCAAAAAGAAAGAAATGGAGAGAGGCAAAAAGTCGAGACAGAGCCAGAGACAGGGCCAGTGCTTTGCTACAGTCAGAGACACCACCAGACTCCCCTGCAACTCCTGAGAATCAGCCTGAGCCAGGGATTTCCAGGTTAGATCATTGGAAGTTTAGCTGATGACTTATTAGAAAGTTTAGATGTATTTGAAAGACAATTATCAACTATTTATGTCCCCATAAAACAACATATTGATAAACTAACTCATTAAAATCTTACTAAAAATCCATATATAATAATATACAAATATTTTGTGTTTCAGGCAACAGCGTCTAGGGGCAAGTGCTCGAAGAAGGTCGAAGAGGAAACTGAAAGATCAGATTGAAATATTATAGGCACAGCTCGCAAAAGAGAAAACTAAAACTGAGAAATATAAGAAGAGGCTCTATAGGGCCAAGAAAGGAAGTTTGTCTAAATCACCACGTTCAAAAGTCAATGCTTTGTTGGGACGTAACAAAGTGAATTCACCCATCAAAAGAGCTCTTATTTTCCGTATCCCTGATTGAAGATATTAAAAGAAAATATGAAAATGCAAAAACAAACAGAGATAAGCAGTTGATAGCAAAAGTGATCAGTGGAAACATTCAGAAGAAGTACAAGCTCCAAAAGCATGCACAGACTGCTTTTGGCTACTCTAACAAGAGAGCAAAGTATCCTGTGGATCTTACCTACCATGGGAGGAGGTGCGTCAGTCGAAATGAGTTGAGGAAGAACGTTACATCGTTTTTTCTACGAGATGATGTTAGTCGAATGACGACCGGCCGCAAACAAACAGTCACACTGCTGAAGAAAAAGATGCAGAGGAGGTTGCTTACCGATACAAGGAAGAACTTGCATAGGAAGTTTCTCTCTGAGCACATTGGCCAGGTGTCATACACATCCTTTTGCCGTCCCAGACCCTTTTGGGTGGTAACCCCCTCTTCCTCTGACCGTGACACATGTCTCTGCAAAAAACATGAGAACTTGCAATTCATGGCCAATGCCTTGCAGAGCCAAGGGTTGCTGTCCTCAAGAAACATTGAGGAAATGTCTGAAGCAACCATGTGCGACCCGAAAGCCAAGGTATGTGCTTACGGTGAGTGCAGTGAATGCCTCCTAACTTGTCACCCGATGCTGAAAATTCCTGGGGAAGAGAACATTCGTTTATCTCAGTGGATGACAGAGAAGATCACGAAGGATGAGAAGGTGTCAACAATCACAGTGAAAAGGGAGATAACAACAACGCAGCACGACCTTAACACAGATTTCCAGGAGAGGCTTCTCCATTTTAAACGCCATGTCTTCAACATTAAATGGCAGTTTAATGCCTACAGGGAGCTCAGGAGGAGCCTGAAGCACAACGAGTCCCTTTTGCATATAGATTTTAGCGAAAATTACTCGTGCAACTAGTACAGCCAAGAAATACAATCTGTGCATTTTGGAGGCTCACACCAGCAGGCCAGTCTGCACACTGGAGTGCTCTACACTGCTGGTGGACAAGCGCCGCACACTTTCTGCTCCATATCACCCTCCAGAACACACAACCCTGTGGCCATCTGGGCCCACCGTTATCCAATTCTGAAGGTAGTGAGAGAACGACACCCTCAAGTCAGCATACTTCATTTTTTCAGCGACGGGCCTGCAACACAGTATCGACAAAAGGGAAATTTCTTCTACCTCTCAACTGAACCCTACAAGTATGGCTTCAAATAAATAACGTGGAATTTCTTTGAGGCTAGTCATGGGAAGGGGGCACCAGACGGTGTTGGTGGGGCCCTCAAGAGGTCAGCAGACCGAATTGTGGCCCATGGAGGAGACATCCCTGATGCCCAGAGCTTGTATGACAAGCTGAAAAGCCTGGACACATCTGTTGAGTTGTTCTTCGTCCCAGAGAGGGATATTGAATCAAAGGCTCAGGTAAAAGCTATAGTCCGTTATCCAATTCACCCCATAGTCCTTCTCCCTCGGTTTCAGGTCCCTGTCCCCCCTCTCCCGTCCAGATTACAGACTACCTTTGTCAAATCTGATCCGTTCATGTGTTGTGGTTAAATAAAGTGTATTAATGTTTGATTCCCTCCCCCCCTCTCACTATAGGTACCTGCAATAGCTGCGGTAAAAGGCACTCTAAGAATCCACCAAGCTATCAGTCTGACACCCGGCCAGATGAAATACCGAGACATTTCATGCCTGTGTAAAAGGGAGGAAGGTGTTTTGGACTGCCCCTGCTTTAACCTTCAAGAGGTCACTCTAGCTGATGTTCCTGTTTCATCTGATGAGTCCCCAGCAAGTGGAAAGGCACCAGATAACCCTAGGAGACCAGCAATGATTGAGGTGAAGCACATTGGAGAGTGGTGCGTCGTTAATTACGACAATGAAGCATACCCAGGTTTCATCATGGATGCAGAAGGGCACAGTGTGAAAGTTAAGTGTATGCACCGCAATGGCATAAACAAGTTCCATTGGCCAAGTCCCCGGGAGGACATATGTTGGTACAATGACTGGCAAATACTTTGCCTAATACCAGAACCACAGGCTCTGAACAAGCGCTCAGTACAAATTGAAGCATCTGCTTGGAAGTATGTGGAAGAGCAACTACAGAAATGAGCCATGTCTCTGCAGAAAGGGAGAGACTGTTTTGGAGACGCGTCTAATTGATCTCTCTGTAACATGCTTTTTTTTCTTTTTTAAATCAACTGTTCTCCACTTAAAAATTGTTTTCTTCTTGTTCTACAGTTGAATGTTTGACTTTCACTGTGCAGAATGATGTACATAATTTAACACAAGAAGGCCACATTAATGTTCTTTATTCAGTGGCCGCATGCAGGTAGAGTGGATCAAAACCAGTCTGTTCAACTGGTCATTTCCCCCTACATGGGATAGGACCTCTGACATTTTCTTTTACATCATTTCCTTTAGATGTATTGCATTTATGAGGCCATTCAATGACATTTCACAATGTGTCCACCCTGTCATGCCCAAGGTCCACCCTGTCATGTCATTGTCCACCCTGTCATTTTCATGTTTTATGAAAATTAATTAAATATTTTACCAAAGTTACCAAAACCTTTTGTGTGATTCCTTTCTAACAAATGAGGGCCAAATAGTATTGTTTGAAAGTTTAACCAGATAACTTTGTTGTTAGATTTTATTTAGAAAATAAAGTGCAACTCTCGCAGATTTTATAGAGAAACAAATAGTTTCCATAATTTCATTATTATCCAAATACTTTTTCCATTAACTAAAATATATTGTTGAGAAAGGGACTAAATTGCTTTCTGAAAATGTACATTTTATAATCACTATGTATTTACTCTACTTTGAATGTGTCCATGACAGGGTGGATTCATTTTGCTGTTTGCATGTACATTGTCTGCTTGCTGTTAATTTATAAAAAGTGTGGGAGCTTGACCAACATCCATTTCTAACAGCATAACATATACTTAATACAATGAATATGAAGTTCAATGGAAAATCTCAGCTTTTTTTTTTGGAAATGGGGAAGTCTCAAATGCACCGTGATATTGACCCTCCTAATTTATGCAAACGACATGTCATCAGCATGTGACTGCAACTTGTTCCTGTTCGCGGACGACTCAGCCCTGCTGGTCTCTGACAGGTGCAGGTTGAAAAAACCCTCAGCTCCGATCTCGGCAGAATCTGCACCTGGCTCGCCGATAATAAATTATCATTACACCTGGGTAAAACAGAGTCCATTCTCTTCGGTTCGAAACATAATCTCAGCATATCCGACGACTTCTCAGTTGCAGTGGGCGACATTATTGTCACAAGTAAGAAGGAAATTACATACCTAGGATCTATTCTTGAGGCAAACCTCTCCTGTGACAAAATGGCATCCAATGTAATACAAAAAGTCAATCAAAGAACTAGATTCCTATACCGGATCTCCTCTCTGGTAAACAAAAACACCCTGAAAACTCTGGCAGGAGCACTCATTCAAGGGTACTATGACTATGCTTGCACGTCATGGTACCATAGCACCTCCAAGGCGCTAAAAATAAAACTTCAAACATCGCAAAATAAACTGGTCAGACTACTGCTTGACCTTTCATCTAGAACCCACCTCACCTCTGCCCACTTTGACAACCTAGGATGGCTTAGAGTAGACGACAGAGTACAGCTGCAATGGGCCTGGTCTACAAGATCCACTACACCTCTATGGTACCCATGGCATGTACATGTCAAAATTCTTCCCAAAGGTCAAGGAATACCATGATCATAACACTAGAGGGAGCTCCACTAATCATGTGAAACCCAGATTTGGCACAAAAAAGGGGGAATACACATTTCGCAATTATGCCACATCAAGGTGGAACGCTCTTCCCACAACTGTAAAGGAAAGTAAAACCATACTTACCTTCAAAACCTCTCTTAAAGAGCACCTTCGGGGGAGAGCATTGCAAAACTGGCCCCGGTAATGGTACAAATCTCAACCTGTCGTTCAATGGACAGCTTCCCCCCCCATCTATGTATATACTCGCATTTTAGACTCTGTTACCAACTGTATATCTGTAGACTTGGTATGTCTTAAATGTCCGATTAGGATGTATTAGAACGAAATCTAAAATGAAAATGGTAAATAAGCCATCTGTATGTCAAATATGTCTTATATGTCTTAAATGATATGATGAATTGGAAATGGGGGACCCTGATGTAAACAAGACGAAAGTCTTTCTCTGGTCTGCATCCCCTTAACAATTGTATGTTTTGAGCTGTACTGTACTGTACCCAATATACAAGCTGTTAATAAACTTTTCAATCAATCAATCAACACCCCGGGCCAGCATAACGTACTTTCCACTTGCCCGCTCGGGCCACAAAAAATATTGCTTTAAAAAAAAAAAATTGTCCTGTGGTATTGGTATTTTGACTAGCAATTTTGTTAAATTGTTTTGTTTATTAACGCTACAAAATAGCGTTTCGTGAGTCGGTTGTCGTTGTTGGGTGAAAAGCAAACGGCTGTTTGCTGCGGAGTGCAGCACGAGCAGGCTCCCGTGAGCGCGCTCCTTCACTATCGCGCCACCTAACCATTCGCCAAAATGTTTTTAATACCAGCGGTAACCGGCCAAGCGCCGGGCAAAAAACAATCTTCAAATAAAAGAAAGTCACCGGAGGAGTTAAAGGAGAGTGACAGGGAGTATGAGAAGAAGAGGGAGAGAAAGTTTCAGCCAGCTTGATCGATGGAGTTGTCTTCTATAGAGTGGTGCAGTGACGCATCCTAAAACCCTTTTATAATCTATCGATTAGATTTATTATTAGAAAATTATAAAAGTAGGGTAGACATGTGGATATTATCCGGCTGAACAAAACGTGCATTTATCAAACAGGTTTGTTTTCCACAGACCTTATTTCCAGCTATTTTCCAAAACCCTGTGGAGAAATCCCATTGCTTTTTTGTCGAGGGAACCAGCAGCTTACTTCCTGGTTTTATGACGCGTCACTGGCTGCACCTCTCAATATGATGCCAATATAAACAAGGACTTCTGTCGGCTCTGTACATCAATGCCGACCTATGCTGACAAGTAAGTGAAGAGTAGAAAATATAAAGGTATTGGCTATAGGGAAATGTTCCAGCAGTTTAGGATAATGAAGGTTCTAATCTAACCTATTACATAGCCATTACATTTGTAACTCCTAATGACAGGAAGCCAGAAAGCGCATTATACAAATAATAATACCAGTCTATGAATAATACTCATAATAGCAGACATTTTTTAACAATGACCACAATATCATTATTTTAATAAACCAAATATGAACAATTGAGGAAAATGAGGAAGAACTGATTCAAATGTTGTAGTACAAGTAGTAATGTAGCTAGTGCATAAATTACTATTGCAACAAATGTGTTCATTTTCTTCATTATTAGTTGATTTTTTTTGGACGAATGCTCTTGGGCCAGTGGTTATAATGGTGGGGCCAGTGATAATACAATTCCACCGGCCTGGAAAAAATGTGCACTTTTAGAAAGTAAACTCTTGCTCAGATGTACAACCTGCTAATTCATGGACTTCCCTTATATTTCCCTAATAGTAGCATCTGCCATGTGAAAACCTGTCTTTGTGTTAACTGGAGAGTTAGTGAGGGATACAAAAAAACACATGTCATACAAAACCTTTTTGGGACTGGAATGACTGGAAAGACGTTATGGTGTAAAATCACAATGACAGAGAGGGGGGGAGTTACCATAGTTTCACTGAAGGAATCCAATACTCAGCCTCGCACACCTACACAAACACATTCACACTCAGTGTCCGGTTGATCTTTTAATACGCTGCCCCTCATGGCTCTGTCTCCAAGGATACTGTTACTGTTGAATCTGTCAGCAACAAATCCTCTTCCGGCTTTGCATCCTGGACTCACCGAGAACCAACAGTGCAATAAAAGTACAATAAAACAATAAAATAACAATAAACAATAATAACAATAAACAATAAAAGGGCCAAATAGTGATTATCCAAAACCATCCATTTATTTTCCCCATAGGTGTTCTGTCTTCTGTTTCGAAAACATATCTGATTACATTACATAGCCATTACATTTCTAACTCCTAATGACAGGAAGCCAGAAAGCGCATTATACAAATAATAATACTCATAATAGCAGACATTTTTTAACAATGACCACAATATCATTATTTTAAGAAACCAAATATGAACAATTGAGGAAAATGAGGAAGAACTGATGATACAAATGTTGTAGTACAAGTAGTAATGTAGTTAGTGCATACATTACTATTGCAACAAATGTGTTAATTTTCTTCATTATTAGTTGATTTTTTTTGGACGAATGCTCTTGGGCCAGTGGTTACAATGGTGGGGCCAGTGGAATTGTACCCTTAATGTCTACCCCTGCCTAAGGTTATCAAAAAAATGTAGCTAAGTATAATTATAAAGTAGCCTTTCATGTAAATACAACTATAGTTACAATTACCTGAGGTTTAAAGTACAACAGTTGTGTAAATTACCACCACTGCTTGTGGAAAAGAGCTGCTGAAAATCTGAATAATTCGCCATTTCTAAAAATGTCTCATTAAGAATTCCAGGTTTAATGAGTTGTATCCATTAAACATTAATGTAACCATTAGCTACAGGGTACTTATAGTTTATAAAAAATGTGCCTCTGCATGGTACCCAACAGTAATGTATGTTTAAAGGTCTACAATTCCTTCTGAAACCAGTCAAACCTGACGCTGAAGCTTTCACCCCTCCATTCATGTAATTAACTTTCTATCTTGGCACTCGGGCTCCATTTGAACAAGGCCGTGAGAAAGTATTCAGATGAGCATAGCGAGGAGCGGCCGCAGAATGAATGACTCAACCGTTGCAGAAGGGGAGCGGCATGTCCAGATGTTTATTTTGCTGTATTATTCACACAGTCACACACAGATGCACAGGACAGCTGCATGAAAGCTGGAAGAAGAATCAATATTTCTCAGTATGACACTCCCACTCCTCCTTAATTTGTTCAAGCATTTTATCCCAGGCTTCCAGCTTTCTGCACATGTCAGCTCAATGTTTTGTTCACGCATGCTTGGATACGCTCACAAGTGCCTGCCTGGATAAAGCAGTGTGTGTTAATGCCAAACACAAGCAGTGCAGGGTGCCTGGACAGTATAGGGGTTATTATCTTGTCTTAGGTCATCAACCTCAGCAGCAGTCTAGCCTGAAAGATTGATTGTGTTATGTACACAAGATCAGACAAGTTCATCTCAATAGAAGCTAAGATTCTGCAAATAGAGGCGCTGCTAATATATTTGGCCATTTATGTTCATTCATTTGCGCTTATTTAGTGTGTGAGTGCACATTTTCCTGCAGCTTAAAGGTGGGGTAGGTAAGTTTGAGAAACCGGCTCGAGATACACTTTGTGTTATATTCCATGGAATGCTCTTAACATCCCGATAGCAATAAATATTTTAAGTGCTTTGACAAAAAATCCATAAAAAAATGTCATCTGTGGAAGCAGTGGCGCTGTAAAAAGCATGACCAATCATTTGAGCCGGCTCGGCTAAAATAACTGGATGGCCTACCTGCCTGTCA